TGGCTGTAAAGAAGTGGATAAGTGGGTGAGTGAAGTTGTGTGTCACTGGCTGTAAAGAAGTGGATAAGTGGGTGAGTGAAGTTGTGTGTCACTGGCTGTAAAGAAGTGGATAAGTGGGTGAGTGAAGTTGTGTGTCACTGGCTGTAAAGAAGTGGATAAGTGGGTGAGTGAAGTTGTGTGTCACTGGCTGTAAAGAAGTGGATAAGTGGGTGAGTGAAGTTGTGTGTCACTGGCTGTAAAGAAGTGAAAGTGGGTGAGTTAAGTGGTGTGTCACTGGCTGTAAAGAAGTGGATAAGTGGGTGAGTTAAGTTGTGTGTCACTGGCTGTAAAGAAGTGGATAAGTGGGTGAGTGAAGTTGTGTGTCACTGGCTGTAAAGAAGTGGATAAGTGGGTGAGTGAAGTTGTGTGTCACTGGCTGTCAAGAAGTGAAAGTGGGTGAGTTAAGTTGTTTGTCACTGGCTGTAAAGAAGTGGATAAGTGGGTGAGTGAAATTGTGTGTCACTTGCTGTAAAGAAGTGAAAGTGGGTGAGTTAAGTGGTGTGTCACTGGCTGTAAAGAAGTGGATAAGTGGGTGTGTGAAGTGGTGTGTCATTGGGTGTAGTGAGGTTGATTAGTGGGTGTGTGAAGTTGTGTGTCACTGGTTGTAGTGAGGTCAAAGTCAAAGTCAAAGTCAAAGAAGTTTATTGTACAAAAGGCCACCGGCCCATATACAAGAAAGAGTTACGCATGTAGATACAATTACATTTGTTACACATTGGGATATACACGTTGTTTGATTAATTCATTTCTTTTGGCTAATGCATGCTTAATATAAAGAGAAAGATTTAATATATTTGATTCGTTCTTTGTCGTCAGCATAACTACAAAGGCGTTTATCGGTGACATTGCTATTAAATAATCTTTTATATATTTCTTTCGGAGATCATTGTAAAATGGACAGACAAACACAAAATGAATTTCATTTTCTATCTCTAGCTTACACAATGGACAAATTCTTTTCATTTTTTCAATGGACAGTATTCTTCCTTCATTACAAATAGGTCTAGCAAACCAAGTCGATATTTAATTAACTGTTTTCTTAAGTTTTCCGTAGTGAGTACTGATAAATATATTTCTGGTTGAAGTGAGGTTGATAAGTGGGTTAGTGAAGTAGTTTGTCACTGGGTGTGGTGAGGTTGATGAGAGAGTGAGTGAAGTGGTGTGTCACTGGCTGTAACGAGATGGACAAGTTGGTGAGTGGTTAGTAGATGACGGGTTTAGTTTTGCAACTATTCAGTGTAAGTAACCAATATGTATCGACAGAGAAAGACCAGGGTTGATCAAATCCATAACAACAACTGCATGTAAACCATCACAAAGTCACCGTGCCAGACCACTCGGTCACATTAGTTGCCTCTTACGACAAGCATGGGATGCTGAATACGTGGATCTAACGTGGATCTTCACGGGATCCGATGGGAAGTTTTCGCGTTGATTATGAACAGCTACTATACAATATTCAACGTGACCAGATGGGGAGTGGTTGTGTTGATAAATAAATCATAGCTTCGAATTATAAAAAAAGATTCCAGATGCTTTTTGGTGGCTTCAACATCATGTCAATATATGTTTAAAATTCATAGCCCAAGGGTATTAAATGGTGACCTCGGGGTGAGACGTCTTGTTATCCTGGCTTCAAGATATGGCATCCCGATATGTCGCACTACTTTGAAAGATTCGAAATACTGGACTTGGGCTATTTCACCGTGGCCTTGGGGATATTAAAGATGACTTCAAACTGGAAGGTCGTAGCGATGAGTTGGATATTCCTGGCCTCAAGATGTTAAATCGTGACTTCCATTTATTATCTCAAGGCCTCCAAATACTAACGTGCCAGTCATGTTACATCAAAGCTTTGCCTCGATAATTAAATAATGCATCGAGAAGATGTAGCGTCGAATTGTTGACAAGGTCTTAAGATATTATCCCAAGGCTATTAAGTGGCGATCTCTTCATATTATCCCAAGGCCTCGGGCTATTAAGTGGTGATCTCTTTATATTATCCCAAGGCCTCTGGCGATTAAGGGGTGATCTCTTTATATTATCCCAAGGTATCGAGCTATCAAGGGGTCATCACGGGATAGTATCCCAAGGCCTCGAGCTATGAAGTGGTGATCTCTAGATATTATCCCAAGGCCTCGAGCTATAAAGTGGTCATCTCTAGATAATATCCCAAGGCTCCGAGCTATTAAGTGGTAATCTCTTGATATTATCCCAAGACCGCAAGCTCTAAAGTCGTTATCTCTGCATATTAGTCCTGGACTCAAGCTATAAAGTCGTTATCTCTGGATATTAGTCCTGGACTCAAGCTATAAAGTCGTGATCTCTGCATATTAGTCCTGGACTCAAGCTATAAAGTCGTTATCTCTGGATATTAGTCCTGGACTCAAGCTATAAAGTCGTGTTCTCTGCATATTAGTCCTGGACTCAAGCTTTAAAGTCGTGATCTCTGCATATGAGTCCTGGACTGAAGCTATAAAGTCGTTATCTCTAGATATTAGTCCTGGACTCAAGCTATAAAGTCTTCGCTTTAAATATTAGTACTGGACTCAAGCTATTAAGTCGTGATCTTTAGATATTATCCCAAGGCCTTAAGCTCTAAAGTCGTGATCTCTGGATATTAGTCCTGGACTCAAGCTTTAAAGTCGTGATCTCTGCATATTAGTCCTGGACTGAAGCTATAAAGTCGTTATCTCTAGATATTAGTCCTGGACTGAAGCTATAAAGTCTTCGCTTTAAATATTAGTACTGGACTCAAGCTATTAAGTCGTGATCTTTAGATATTATCCCAAGGCCTTAAGCTCTAAAGTCGTGATCTCTGGATATTAGTCCTGGACTCAAGCTTTAAAGTCGTGATCTCTGCATATTAGTCCTGGACTGAAGCTATAAAGTCGTTATCTCTAGATATTAGTCCTGGACTGAAGCTATAAAGTCTTCGCTTTAAATATTAGTACTGGACCCAAGCTATTAAGTCGTGATCTTTAGATATTATCCCAAGGCCTTAAGCTCTAAAGTCGTGATCTCTGGATATTAGTCCTGGGCTCAAGCTATAAAGTCGTTATCTCTAGATATTAGTCCTGGACTCAAGCTATAAAGTCGCTATCTCTAGATATTAGTCCTGGACTCAAGCTATAAAGTCGTGATCTTTAGACAGCACCACTGACCTCGAGCTATTAAGTCGTGATATCTACTTATGAACCTCTGATGACGTCACACGACAGTAACAAAAGGTTCCTTTAAATGTTAATAAACTTCCAAGACAGGCAATATCAACAATACCCGGGACCTGATGAATTCATTTCAGTTGTAATATCCAGGTTTTACAATTAACGTTTCATACACCTGCCTCTTGATGTGAACACAATTGTGTTCGATGATTGGTAAAAAGTCACAATATCTGTTTAACATGAATCGAATGTTCAACCCCACATATCGTGTGAAGTTTTGTATCTTTTATACCGCGATACATTGTATTGTTTCACTATTAGGTATCGCGATGTTTTGTTATATTTTCTGCTATTTCTTGCATTTTAGTCGGTTCATAAAGTAGTCGGTTTTGGTTGAAAATGTAAAGCCTTTTCCCTCGCACGGGGTTTTACATGTTCAACCAAAACCTCGGAGGCGTACTTTATCCTATATATATATATATATTTATCATATAATGGGTAGGTTTCTCGGCAGGATTTAGCCAACGGATAAAAGCGATATCCGTTGGGGGTCATATGCGGATAGAGATGCAAATATCAAAGGTCAAGTAGGGACTACTTTCACTGTTTATAAACAAACATGGCGTCGCCCTCGTCATTCGGCGACTGAGTCAGAATAAACCATCGGGAATCTGGATAAACTACATGGATAATTGCTATCATTATCAGAGGACAGTCTAATGTACTGAAAATCAGTGTCTAACTGTGACGTAGCAAAGGCATTTTATAAGTTTTGGCAACTTTGGAGATATAAATTTCGAAACAATTTGGCAAGGGGCACGAGGCCTAGCCAAGCGGGATCAGTAGCCATATCTGTGCTTGTAGACCTCTGCGGCTTGAAACCTTCTCCACAAATTAAAATAGTTGGATTCGGCCGAAATATGTTTGAATTGTTACCTTGTTTCGTTTTGTCGCTGTGTGTACATCTGACTGTACTTAACGTTATGACAGGACAGAGCGACAGTCAACAATGTCTGACCGTGGCCGTGACGTCTCATAGACTAGGGTTAGAGTAGCTTCCCTTTGACAAAGGGCAGTTACTCTAGCGGACAGACCGATGGATTGCCGCGAAAGGCAATTAAAAACAATGTTGCTACGCCACTGTATAAGAAACAGATTTCAGTTGGAACTATACTGGCTACTGTCAAACTGACGCATCACCTACCCTGTGACGTACTACATATTAATGCGCGCATTCCCGGAAAACTCGCAATGTTTCGATAATGTTTGTGGGAGAGGGAAAGCTATTTTCAAGCACAGATTCAAAGAATGACATTATATGATAAAGAGGTTATCACGCTTGTGTGTTTGGGGATGGTAAAAAGCCTGTATTAGGAATAAACACTATGCATTTAGCTCGCCAAGGCTCGCTAAATACAATGTTTATTCGTAATGCAGAATATTTACCATCCCCAAACACACTCGCGTGATAACCTCTATATATTATCACCCGGCCTCAACCTAGTAAGTTGTGATCTGAAAGTAAGAATCACGTGACGTCAAAATATTGCTGCCTTAATTTCTTGTTTCACTGTGTTCATACCACGAATCTGAATTGACTTTGAAGTTAGGTTCTTGTTTATTATTCCTTCTTCTAAATACAATTATTGTTAACAATAAATCATAGAAATAATTATCAGTTCTGTGGAAAAGTGATTTTCACCACATCTTGCCAATTGACATAAGTTGCATTTACGGCGTTATAAGGATTATTTTTCCCTTGCCCCCTTGATAACTTCAGACCTAAGTACTTACATATATGTGCAAAAGCATCGTTGAGGGAGTATCACGTATCAGCGTCCTCGCGTCAGGGCACCGTTTACAGATGTGGGGGTATTGTTTGGATGTTAAGAGTCTGTACTGACATATACTTCCTGGTATTTACAGCTATCGATTCAAGCCCACACTCGTGCTACTTGTCCAACTTTAACTCTTTCTACGCCAGTCAGCAAGAAGCTTTTCCTTCTACCACACCCAGTTCGGGCAGCAGTGTTGAAAGCGTTAGTCTGACATACTGGAATATAAAATCAATGCAACTTGAAACTGCGCACGCACTTAGGTACAATTTTGTTGTTGTGAATCCACTTGCGGTTAGGGGGAGTTAACCCCGCTGTTCTGTGGAATCCTAGAAGGGACTTTCTCGCTTTTTTGCCTTCTCGCCCTTACCAAAACAAGCCAAAAGTGTCAAAATTAACCAAAACGCGACAATGTGACATTTTCGCAGTTTGTCGCATTGTCATTTTATCGCCCTTTGAATAATCTTGTATATTTTACCAAAGGGCGACAACGCAACATTGTTCCGGGTCGAAAATTGTTCCCATGTGCATTGTCGCCCCATCAAAAGATAATTTTGACATTTTGCTGTGGTAAGACTCTACGACTTCACCATGCATATTGATGGTGTATTTAACACCATCTTCGACATCACAATGTTTATTGATGGTGTATTTAACACTGTCTTTGACATCACCATGTATATTGATGGTGTATTTAACACCGTCTTCGACATCACCATGTATGTTGATGGTGTATTTAACATCGTCTTCGACATCACCATGCATATTGATAGTGTATTTAACACCGTCTTCGACATCACAATGTTTATTGATGGTGTATTTAACACCGTCTTTGACATCACCATGTATATTGATGGTGTATTTAACACTGTCTTTGACATCACCATGTATATTGATAGTGTGTTTAACACCGTCTTTGACATCACCATGCATATTGATGGTGTATTTAACATCGTCTTCGACTTCACCATGTAAGTTGAAAGTGTATTTAACACCGTCTTTGACATCACCATGTATATTGATGGTGTATTTAACATCGTCTTCGACATCTCCATGCATATTGATGGTGTATTTAACATCGTCTTCAACTTCACCATGTAAGTTGAAAGTGTATTTAACACCGTCTTTGACATCACCATGTATATTGATGGTGTATTTAACACCGTCTTCGACATCTCCATGCATATTGATGGTGTATTTAACATCGTCTTCGACTTCACCATGTAAGTTGATAGTGTATTTAACACCGTCTTTGACATCACCATGTATATTGATGGTGTATTTAAGACCGTCTTCGACGTCACTATGTTTATTGATGGTGTGTTTAACAACGTCTTCGACTTCACCATGTATGTTGAAAGTGTATTTAACACCGTCTTTGACATCACCATGTATATTGATGGTGTATTTAACACCGTCTTCGACGTCACTATGTTTATTGATGGTGTGTTTAACACCGTCCTTGACATAATCATGTATATTGATGGTGTATTTAACACCGTCTTCGACATCACCATGTTTATTGATGGTGTATTTAACACCGTTTTTGACATCACCACTTATAGTGATAGTGTATGTAAGACCGTCTTCGACTTCGTCATGTATATTGCTGGTATATTGTTATAAGGTAAAAATGCATCCCCAAACCTTAGAAAATTATAACAAGGTCAACCTTTAAATTGATGGTTATAGCTTTAACACGAGGGAAACACAGAGCTGCCGACTTGGCGCAAACAAGCAGGAAATCAATAGAGCAATGACAGTTACTGGATATTTCCAGATAGCTTCTGTGTTGTTGTCGCCAATTAATCAATTAATCAATCAGGTTAGTAGGTTCTGGTAGTTTTCCAATCACGACACAAACGAGACTTCATGGTCTGATATTGTTCATAACCAATTAAAAAGATCTTTGAGGACATGTGACAAAGACAGGCCCGAACACTTCAAAATGACACCTTAAACATTTGGAGAGGAGAGTGCGGTTTAAAAATCGATGGAGTCGAATCCCACGCAGTGACGAGCCTGGCCGGTCTGATCCTGTCGTGTCTTGATAGATGGACTGACGAGTAAGTAAAACTATGCGAGTACAAAGCCTGGTGTTGCGGTTATTATGCGTATGAATGCTGTTTGAGACTTTCGGAGAAAGAATCGATAGACAAATCACTCCTAGACTCAGATACCCCGATTCTGACCAGGCGAGCTGCAAAGTCATGATCTAACTTGCCATGACGACACGGAACGACAATACGTTTAGGTTACTGTAGTAGGGTCCCACCTGACGCAGTTACTACAATATGTAACACAGCCTTCGACTTTACGATGTGTATTGATAATGTATTGAATAACTGATGAGCTGCAGGAATTATTTTCAGTTTTTCAAACGTTTCATTTATACTGATGTGATGTAGAAAGTAGTCTGGGGTATGCTTCCAGATACCATGAAATCGTCCTTCACCTAGGGGTATGGTTCCAGATACCGTGAAATCCTCCTTCACCTGGGGGTATGGTTCCAGATACCGTGATATCCTCCTTCACCTGGGGGTATGTTTCCAGATACCGTGAAATCCTCCTTCACCTGTGTGTATGGTTTGAGATACCGTGAAATCCCCCTTCACCCGGGGGTATGGTTCCAGATACCGTGAAATCCTCCTTCACCTGGGGGTATGGTTCCAGATGCCGTGAAATCCCCCTTCACCTGGGGGTATGGTTCCAGATACCGTGAAATCCACCTTCGCCTGGGGGTATGGTTCCAGATGCCGTGAAATCCACCTTCACCTGGGGGTATGGTTCCAGATGCCGTGAAATCCCCCTTCACTTGGGGGTATGGTTCCAGATGCCGTGAAATCCGTCTTCACCTGGGGGTATGGTTCCAGATGCCGTGAAATCGTCCTTCACCTGGGTGTGTGGTTCCACATGCCGTGAAATCGTCCTTCGCCTGGGGGTATGGTTCCAGATACCGTGAAATCATCCTTCACCTGGGGGTATGGTTCCAGATACCGTGAAATCCTATTTAATCTTAATGAATGGTTCCAGATACCGTGAAATCCTCCTTCACCTGGATGTATGGTTCCAGATACCGTGAAATTCTCCTTAACCTGGGGGTATTGTTCCAGATACAGAGAAATCCTCTTTAATCTGGATGAATGGTTCGAGATACCGTGAAATCCTCCTTCACCTGGGGGTATTGTTCCAGATACATAGAAATCCTCTTTAATCTGGATGAATGGTTCCAGATACCATGAAAACATCCTTAGTCTGGGCGGCTTAGTTCCAGATCAACAAATTTCCGGATTAACGAATCAAGGTTGGGAGAAATATTGCGTTAAACATACACGGACAATGACAAACGGTACCGGACTACCAGGTTTTCGGACTAACAAGCTTTCACTTTATATATTTACAGGCAAAGGTTGATCAATCTTTAAAGCTTTACTCCAAATCACAATATATATTCCAACATCGACACATTTATTTGACAGCGATCGAAATGCAACTGTTTTCAAGTGTGCTTGGGGGCGGTTGGGTAGCCTAGTGGTTAAAGTGTTCGCTCGTCACGCCGAAGACCGGGGTTCGATTCCCGACATGGGTACAATGTGTGAAACCCATTTCTGGTGTCCGCCGCCAAGATATTGCTGGAATATTGCTAAAAGCGGCGTAAAACCATACTCACTCACTCACTCAAGTGTGCTTGAAGGCACCCGTGATATTATTCAGGTGTGCCTCAAACGATATATGTGTGCCATGGCTTATCATGACATCCCTATTCCTGGCATATTTTGCAAAGTAATACATCTTTATTTCTATCACAAATAAGCCAAGATTTATTTGAACTGTGAAAACACATAGTCAACTTTAGCTCGAATCAGAAAAGATGTGTTTTTGTGCTCAAGTCAATCTCCAAAGAGACATCCACTGACATCGTTGTGTTTTATTATCTCATGCCTGAATACCCATGGAAGTTAATATTGTGGCAAGTGAAACGATATCCTCGATGTAAATCACATTGTATAGTCTTCACATGAAACAGGTGATATATTTGGTATACATTCTTGAAATTGATGGTGTGCAGTAAGTTGAGGTGAGGTGAAATTGGTTTTAACGTCGCGTCCAAGATTATTGCACTTATATAGCGACGTGCATGCACGTGTGTGTGTGTGTGTTGCTGCTTGTACTAGTCTGGACTGATGCCGATTTATAGTGCTAGCTCACTGAGATACCATGCTGCAGTTTAACATGAATACCCCACTCAGACACAGTATACTGACTCCGAGCCGACCAGTCCTTGTTTTAGCCCCTTAATGCCGAGCGCCAGACAGGGTAACAACAAGTACCATCTTTTAACGTCTTTTGGTATGACGCGGCCGCGGATTGTACAGTAAGGACACTCGGAGTGTTTTAAGGGTGCAATCAGCACACTTCGAAATCTGTTTGACAACAATGACAGTCTCGGAGTCCCCACAGTGACACAACGCGGAGAGGAAACATTTCCGTGAAGCTATGTGAATATTTATATCAGTGTATCGTCACAACTGGGATATAAACTGCCCGGCAAAAGAAAGTGTACACAAAATTTGATCTGACTAAAATATAACACACGTTATCAAAATGTTACAAGGCTGAAAACAGTCACCAAAACACTGCAAACGTCCAAAACACAACTGTGATACCCGTATCAAACACATCACCCTCGAGAAACCTTTCCGTGTTTGTTTCAATATTTACCCACTATCAAACACATCACCCTCGAGAAACCTTTCCGTGTTTGTTTCAATATTTACCCACTATCAAACACATCACCCTCGAGAAACCTTTCCGTGTTTGTTTCAATATTTACCCACTATCAAACACATCAACCTCGAGAAACCTTTCCGTGTTTGTTTCAATATTTACTCACTATCAAACACGGGTGAGTTCACCAAGTTCACCTTGTCTTCGTGCTGGATTGTATCGGAGCTGAAGCTTTATGATACATGATTTTACGAAGTTTCGTTTAATTGTCAAACCCTTAGAACATGTGTTTGTCAACGCTTTGCTATTCAGTATTCCAGCTGTATGACGGCGGTCTGTAAATAACCGAATGTGGGCCTGATAACCCGGT